AAAAGAGTAAAAGAAAAAAAAAGAAAATGGATATCCCAAGTGATTGCCTATGTATAGTTGGAATTTTTAAGTTAGCAGTATATAATTGGCGTTAATGCTCCCACCACCAAGTTAACATCTGTAGCTTGTATGTAGTGGAAAATATTTCATATCGTCACTTAATCCTCTACTAACCCAGTGAGGTAGACACTCTTACCTCATTTTATAGATCCTAACACTGAGAGATTAAATAATGTAACTCAGTTTTTATGGCTGTTAGAGGGGGAGAGCCAGAACCTTAAAAAGAAAACAGAAGGTATGAACTATACTAAGTCCTGTTCTGTCAGAGTTTAGCAGTCACCTAGTTAATGGCCACAGAAGTATAAGTTCTTTTAGCTGGTGGTCAGTGGGATTAACTCAGAGACCTCTGAATATGTTGCCTTCTCTGGGTCTGGCCTGCATGGAGACTGATTGTAGTCAGCAGGAGCTTACTGAGCAGAAAGTACCTTAACAGAGACTATTCAGTTTGTATCTGTCTCTAGTATCAATCCTTGCTGCCCCATTGGGATCTGTTCCCTTCCAGTCCAGAGAGAAAAAACCAGGAGTTCATGCTATGAAAATGCTGGGAAAGTCTTCTACATGGCCACTGTGTTAGTCATGTTTTTGTTACTATTACGTGATACCTGAAATTATAAGCTCATAAAGGGAAAAGGTTTATTTTGGCTTACAGTTTCAGAGGTTTCAGTCTATGGTTAATTGGCTTTGTGGCTTTCGTGCCTAAAGCAAAGCAAAACATGGCAAAACCACACAAAACCATTCACATCATGGTGGTAGAAGGGAGAGAATAAGGAAGAGGGTATGAGGTCCTACTGTCTCCGTCAGGAGCTCCCCTCCATTATTTAAAGTTTCCCCTCAGGTCCAATCTTTTAAAGTTTCCACTATCTTCCAGAGGTACCAGGCAAGGGAGTAAGCCTTTAATAACAAAGAGCCTTTGGTGGACTCTTAAGGTCCCAACTATAGCAATCCTTAATCCCCCTTATGTCCCTTCCTCGTTGAAAGTACGGGTGGAGGGAAATCAGGGTTGTGGGCAGCGGGGCCCTGTGTCCCTGGGTTTTCTTCATGTCGGGAGGTCCCCACTTGGGAGTGTGGCCACCCCTCTAAATTCAACTCTTTTTCAAAGGAGTCACATCCAGAGGCAGGCAGGTTACTAACTTAGGCCACAGCAGCTATTGTTTTTGATGTGATTGTATTCTTCACAACTTCCTGTCAACTTCCTCCATCCTTTTTCCTCTCAGGGTTGTTCTGTTCCTCTGTTTCTTTCTTGCACTTCCAGCTCTTCTCTTTTATGACTCCTTTTTCTGCACAGAAAATGTGTAAGTTACCAAAAGAGAGAAAGATCTGTCAAATCAATACACATGCTTGATAAATAAATGACAAAACTAGCCAAACAAAGTTGGTCTTTTTGTCTCTGTTGCAAGACCGCTTTCCGCATGCCGTCTCAGCTTTATCTGGCAGCTTAGGTTGCAGGCCTCTGAGCTGGTTCCCAGGACATCTCCTTTCAGACCTGGAGCTGGGAACAGATGTTGAACCACTTCACCTTACAGGCAGGAAGTTGGGGGCAGGAACAAGTGAGGACTGACTATTCTTTCCTGTTTTGTCAGAGCATGAAGGGACGCCCACCCCCAACACCCCTTTTTGGAGATGACGATGATGATGATGACATTAACTGGCTGGGATGAAGACCCAGGAAATTGGTGCACAGATTTCTCTACTGGCCCTTCCCAATAAGCTTGATTTTGCACAGCCAGCCCTGGGTCTAGGCAAGCCGCAGGGTGAGGTCAAGGTGAGCAGTTCAGATCCTGAGTTAGCCTCTGGGAGCCTCCACCTGACTTGGTGAAGAGGATCATGACTCTTGCTTCAGAGCTGGTGTTTGGAGCAGCCCACAGTGGTCTTGCCTGCAAGGCCCATGTGGAGGAAGGGCTGCCAGGTTTCTCTCCCACAAAATACCTGCCCTCTCGCAAGCTTCTTCTTTTCATTCACTCTCAGACTGACCTGAGAGCCCAGCTTCGTCTGTCTGTCAGAACCAGCTGTGTCCCAGCAACAAGACCTGTCTGCTGGGCCGAGGTCTCCCTGGAGAACCGAAGGGAGACCACACCATCTCCATTCCTGTTGTCAGCAGCCTGGCCTGCTATCCTAGGATATGTATCTTTTTTCTCTGCCTTAAGTCTTATACATGAAGTCAACAAGTATTTGAAATTAACAAAACTAAAATAAATGACTAATGAAATTTGACTCAACCCTTGGGGAAAAATTGGTTCCAAGGGCTGTCAGTGGTTCTCTTGAGAATCCAAGGGTGGGAGCAGTAAATGGATCTGTTAATGTGCACAAAAGTGTTATCACCTGTTCCCTTTGGTACTGGAACCTGAAACTTAGGCTTCCAAAGAAGGTTACCACTTAGCTGTCCCAGCTTGATCCGGCCTGCAGATCAACAAGTCCAGAACTCCTGGAGGGGAAACGGGGATTAAATAAAAGACATAGGGGAGACAAAAGAGACGAAGGCAAGTTGATGTAATCCAATCAAGCCTCCGGTTTATTCAGAAAATGATCACACCTTTTATAGGCTAAGGGCGGGAGCTGGGACAGGAAGAGGTTAAACAGATGAATACAACAGGGTCACTGTCACATCTGGATACGTGACGTAAGCAGGAGAGGATTATGGTTAATGTAGGCAGACGCAGTGCCCATAACGAGAGTCATGGAGGCAGCAATGCCTGTCACTTGGCTCCCTATACCAGCTCATCCCAGCTACATAAGGCTCAGGGACTCATGTTATCTGAGGACCAGACCTTAAACCATTTCTCTCAACTAAGCCATTGTTCTTGACACCTGAAGGAGTCTTCACTTTGGGAGTAGCTTCATTCTCTCTGAGATCAGAGGACCAGGATTAATGCAGAGAAGAGCAGTAAGAATAAGTTTGTGGCCATATTATTCACCTTAGGCTCTTCCAAAAACCATGCAAGTAATCTTCAAAAATAAAAATGTTACTGACTTTAAGTATTGATAAGATAGGAACCTTTCAGGGCGAGATGATGAGCACCTATAATCCGAGCCTATGGGAGCCTGAAACAGGACACTGTGATTTCAAGGCCAGCCTGGGCTACATAGTGAGTGTGAACCACATAGCGAGATCTTGTCTAAATGAGTAAGTGTATGAGAGGAACCTAAATTCCAGTCTGTTTAGCCCTACATCACTGTTGTAGGATTTGTCCTTGTCTCCCCAATGTGGGCCTGGAGGGCATTAAGAACAACCAGGTATTAACTTCTGTTATTTAACAAATAGGCGCTGCTGGCTGCCTGTGCATAGACTTCTTGCCTGCAGCAGCCATTAAAGGAGACACAAAGGGTTGTCCCCTTTATAGGGACAGACTCAGACTTAAAGTAGTAAAGCAACTTGTCCAAAATTATATAGCCAGCAAGCACAGAACAGAGTTTTAGTTCCTGGCTGTCTGCTGGAGGAGCCTGGGCTCTAGAACACTGCCCTGCCAGACTGCCATTGGCTGAGAGGAATGAGTCATGCAGAAAAGACTAAGATTGTATTTGCATCAGCATCCTAGATGACTGTATTCGTTATGCATCCAGACATGTACTAATAAAAGTATAGGCTTCTGGCTTCTACCTGGCATCTCTGGAGACAGATTTTCTACCCCTTTAGAGTAAGATGCAAAAAACACAAGTTTTTCAGTCTTTACTTCTGTGTTCCATGAGTGTTGTGTGGCCTCAGCCAAGTTAGTTGGCCTTTCCTCACTAGCTCCCTCATGAAAACAGAGCTGATGAAGAACAATTTTAGCTGGGCATGATGGCACAGGCTTGAAAATCCAGCACGTGTTGGGAAGCTAAAGCAGGAAGATCACAAGTTTGAGCCCAGCCTGGGCAATTAGCTGAGACATGTGTCAGAATTTTACAAGGGCCAGGGTTATAACTCAATGCAGAGGGCCTGGGGTCAGTCTTCAGTACTCAAGAAAAGTAAAGGATGGAGTGAAAGCTGCTTCTGTGGCCTATTAACTGGGTGATTAGTTCTTTGTTCTTCAGCTTCCTCATCTGTAAGGTAGAGGCAGCAAAATTCCTATTTTGTTGTGAGAACTGAGTGAACTAACATTTGTAGAGTGCATAGAACACTGCTTGGCACACAGTAACTACTAATATAGATGTTGGGTACATTTTAAAAATTTGCCAGTAGTAGTAGTGCGTGCCTGTAATGCCTGCTGAAGCAGGAGGATCACTGTTTGCGCCTGGGCTACATAGTGAGGTCAAGGCCAGCCTGAACTACATAGCAAGATCCTTTCTCAATCAATGTTTTAAAAAAAGTAAATAGAGAAAATGCCACTTTTTGTGATTTGGCTCTGAAGAGTGTAGAAAAGACAGCAGTGGATTGCTTACTAAGTCTAATGTATAATCACTCTCTACAGCCTAAACTTAAAAACACTTTTTAGACCTCTCTCTACTATAAACATCACTTACTGGCCACCTTAAGGTTCCGTTTCAGCAGTACACAGGAGAGGAAACCCTAGGGCAGGACTTGGTGATGGATGGATGAGCCTCTACTGAAACTTTATACCTGTCGGGGCCCTGGGCAGCTTTCCAGTTCCCTGCACACTTGAGAATATACCTAGCAGTTCTAGAGACATCATATACCCCACCTTCCGTGACAGTGCTTATACATGGGAAAGAAGTCATTGTTTTGCTTCTGCCCTCACAGAGAGCAGGTGCTAATATCCATGACAACACAGGTTGTTTATGTGACAGGGTATCTTATTACAGTGGGCACACAACTAGTGCTTGTTATATGAACAAAAGAATGGTAAGTTCTGCAGGCACAGTGTTTCAGCCTGTTTCTCTGAGCACAGATCTTTTGTCTTCAACAGATGGACAGACTCAGGCCTCCAACAGTTGGACAGTATGCCTCTAGCTGTCACAAGAGTTTTGTGTACTTACTGTTAAAATGAGGAAAAACAGACCAATAGTTACAGACTGTTCAAAAATATATATTTATTAAAATGTATTTGTTTTAACTCTCAAAGCTTAAGAGCATCTTTTCATCTAGCTCATGAGGTACTTAAGCATAGATATTACAGTTTACAGCAGTGGTTTTCTCTCCCTGGGTCTTTTTCAGTAAAGTGAAGAAGTTCAAGCATCCAGAGTCCATCTAATTCTAACAGGGCACCACCTTTGGTCTCACTGCTTCCTGCATCCTCAGTCAACCCCCCTCCCCATCACCATCACCACCATGGCTTAATAAGTGACTGAATCATGTCTCCCCAAGCAAGCAGTAATAAATAAAGAGCATTAAGCACTGAACAGTGTTGAATGCAGTTCTCTGTTCTGCACGGAAGAGTATCTGGATGAGGGTGGGGGGTTCTCACCCAGACACAATGTCTACAAGACTGACCTCCCCTTGCAGGCAGTGCCATCTGATGGCAGGACTTCATTCTATCCAGGCGACAAGCCAGAGCCTTGCTAACTCCCGAGTCTGCCTTTAATCAGTTAGTGCTTATTGTTCCCTCGAGAAAGGGAGACAGGCTCAGCAAATGCTGCCATCCATCATATATACAATACAATCATTTCATTATAATTTTTGTTTTGTACGAACGTGCAAAATTGCCAACCAGAAGTCCAGCGGGAAAATGAAATCTTGATCCACATGATTCATTGAAGAAACAATCTTCATGTGTTCGAAGGCAAAAAGGTGAGAAAAGGAGCTAGCGTGGTCTCTGCCCTCTAAAGGCAGCTCAGTGGAAGATGCTCCTGTAGATAAGGCACAGAGCAGGAGGCAGGGTGTCTGGGTTCCATGACCATCATGTCACCCAGGGTCCATCTCCCTCCCCTGAAGATCTTTGGAAATTTGTAAGTTTGAGTCATAGTGCTGCATTGTCCGCCACAGGCTATAGCTCCTCCATCTGTCCCCTGGTCACAACAGCCCCCTTACAGTGCCACACTAAGCTAGGCCTGCTCAGGCTGGCTGAGGAGGGAGCAGCTGCAGTGCCCTAACAGGGAGTGAGTGCTGGCTTTCTGTTTAAAGTTGCTGCAAGATTAATGTCGGGAAGAAAGGGCTCTGGCTCCCGCCAGCTCTCAGGGCCTGCTCGTCCTCTGCCAGTTAAACCTTGCCGAGAAGTGGGTATACTAGGTAGTAGCCCACAGCTGAGCCCAGGACCACACCAAGAAAAATCCAGGCATTGTAGGACATTACAGCCAGCATTATGAAGTAGCCGATGACTACCTGGATGACATGGACTAAAGACTGGCCAAGATGACACAGAAACCACCTAGATAAAAAAGAGAACCAAGTGAATGCTGGTAATGTGCTGGAGGCAGGGAGCTCCTATCCGGGAGTAGTAAGCCCTTGTATTACAGCATAACATGCTTAACCAGGGAAGATGGCTTTTTAAAGAAACATCTTACACTTAGTCTGCTTGGTATTCTGGTATCCTCGGCAAAAAGGGAAATGATACATGTAATTTATCTTTTCTAATAAGGGAAAATCATGACTAGTTCAGGTTTATTTTTTCCCTGAATGTATTGTGGGAGATAGAGGCAAGATGCAATGGAAAAGGTGGGCACTGGTGGCAGATCAGTTCCTAGCTCTGCCATTTACTAAGTTTGGCCTAGCAAACATGTTTTAATGTCTCTAAATGTTAAATTCCTTATCAGTACAACAGGAACAAAACTCCCCCCTTGCAGGGTGGTTTGGGAAGACTTGAGACACTCAGGAAATGTGCCTTTGTGATGGTGCACACAGACTTAGCAAGCCCCAAAGGTGCGGCTGGAGAGAGAGGACAGATTGGAGACCCTAAATGGTTGCCTGATCTAAATGGAAAGGGAGGAAAGGGATGCTTCCCCTCGCCCACCAAGGTGGATACATGGCTGATGGCAGTTCTTAGCATTTGCTTTGGGACAGGTGCAGACGCCCTCCTGGATTTGGAAGCCTAGTGAGATTTGAGAGGAGGCTGACAGGTCATTTATGCTGCTAGACAGGGACCTGCAACAGTGTCCTGCAGGTCACAGGCTCGTGCAGAAATCTTGAGCTTCCCCAGTGGCTGCTGATACAGCTCCTGCCGAGGTAATGGGGGAGCTCAGCTGTAGTTCACCTTACTAACTACCCACTGTGGCCAGTTCTGGTCTTTTCCTGGGCCTCTGTTTTCTTTCCTGTCTGGGACTAATGCTCTCCAGGTCCAGCCTACTTCGCAGGGTGACATAAGAACTCTGCCCATCCCCCACAGCCAGTGCCTGTACCTGAAGGATGTTCTGCTGAGTGACAGTGAGTCTGAGTCTGCAGAATCCTGCTCTCTTGCCAAGATGAGGTCCTGGCTTGCAGGCGTGTGCAGCTTTGCCAGAGTATGGTAGAGGAGCTTGGCTTTGCCAACCTTGATGCCTTCGTACAATATAGCCAAGAGCAGGACCACCAACACCGAGAGTGCCATGCCTGTTGAGAGAGCAGAGTTAAAAGAAGTAGCCTCTGGTGTTCTATGTACAGTAGGGTGACAAAGACAGCCACAATGTAGTGTGTATTTCAAAAAAACTAGATGGATTATAGGCATTTTACCACAAAATATTATACATTGCAATAAATACACTGATTTAAACATTATACAATATACACGTGTATGGAAACATCACATAAATAGGTACAGTTTCTGGAAGGGAAAGGACAGGACAGGACAGGACAAGACAGGACAGGAAAAGAAAAGAAAAGGATTGAAGGGGGCTAGATTCAGAGACCTGGCCTGCCCCCTTAGCAGTCTGCACAGATCTCTGTCCCAACGTGTATGCCCACACATGAGTAGGACAGCAAGGTCCTACTCATGTGTGGGCATACCAAAAAAGCCTGGAAGGAAGGCTATATGGCAAAAAAGTAAGAGTCATCAGCTAAGTTTGGATACAGGTGGGTTTTTATTTCTTGCATCATTCTTTAAAGTCTTGCCTGTATCACTTTTTTTTGTCTTTTTCCTTTTTATCGGTACCGGGGATCGAACTCACGACTGCCTGCTTGCAAGCAGGCACTTATGCCGCTGAGCTAAATCCCCAGCCCGCCTGTATCACTTTTATAGTACAGAAAAACCCAGTAAGTTATTTTATAGAAATAAGTGTTCACTTACTAGAGCTGCTGTGCAGAATTAACTGCTAGTTCTACTTTGTTTTTACAAGTGAGGAGAGATGTAGTCAAGCTAAAGAGTTTTGGTTTGGTTTGGTTTTTTGTGGTACTGGGGATTAAACCCAGGACTCTTATACTGAGATACATCCTCAGCCTGTTTTTTATTTTGAGGTCGGGGTCTTGCTGAATTGCCTGAACTGTGCACAAACTTGCAATCTTCCTTCAACCCCCAGAGTGCTGGTATTTCAGGCATGTGCCACCATGCCTAGCTCCCAGCTAAAGCATTTTGTGGGGCTCTGTGACATAATAAGAAATACACATATTTGGTTTCTGCCCTGGTTTCCTGGTACATAACTTATAAAGACCTTGGGAACTGGCTAGAGGTGTCTTTTTGTATACTATTAAGTGTCTGGGGCTCTAAGACAGCTTTAGCATGAGGGCTGGTTACCAGATGACTAGAGGGTTGGAACTCAACCTCTGAAAAGGAAGCGAGATTGAAGGCTGAGTTAGTAACTAGGGGCAATGACTTAATCATATTTATGAAATATTTCCCTGAATTCTGTCAGCCTTCTAGCAAATAATTGGTCCCAAGGAAGGGTTCATGGGACCTAATTTTATAGCTGATTGGTGATAAGTAGAGGAGATAACCTCAAGTTTGCAATTAGTGTCTGGTGGGGGAAGTCTTACAGGATGATGCTCTTAACCTATGGGGTCTGTGCATCTGATTACTGTGAGAACTGAATTGTGGGACACTCCGCTGGTACCAGAAAATTGTCAATGTGGAGGAAAACTACAGAGCTGGCCATAGAAGTGTACTGAATGTGAGGAAAAGTAAGAGTAGGTTGGTGTTCTCCTTCATAGAAGAAATTCTCTATAAAAGACACAGGATTTTAAAACATATAAGTAATTGCATGCATATGGTAAAAATTCAAACAGTGCATTAGAAGGGTGTACAGTTAAAAATCAGTCTTCTCCCCAGCCTGGCTTCTCAGAACTCTGACTCTCCTCCCCATGTGTGTAGCAGCCTTAACGTGTCTAAATGACACATCCTGTTTCTGTACACTCTCTGGCCCTCATCTGTCTTCACCATCCAGCTGAACCTTGTGTATGAGTTTACACAGATCTGCTTGTTTTTAACCCCCAGTGGCTCCTCAGTATCTGTAACATTTTATTTTCCAAAATGGCCACCCCAATATTTAACCCCACAAGTTCTTAGAATGTTAACACTCCTCCCAACAAGTGGTGGGTGCCATGCTGTCTCCTATTAGCCTACGAAGACCTTAGGCCTCAGCCAATAAGGTGGAAGTCATGTGATTTCCAAGGATAAATCTTAAAAACCCCAGGAACTACTTCTGTGTTGTCTTGGAACAATCACATCTGAAACCTAGCCACCCTGCTGTAAGAAAGCCTAGGCCACAGGAAACACCACATGTAGGTGTTTAGCCAAGAGCTGAGATTCTAGCTCACATTCAACCACTGGACGTGACATGAGAGTCCCCAGGATGACTCCTGTTCCAGCCACTGTGTGACAGTACTTCAAGAGGCCTTCAGTGAGCTCCACTGAGCTAAGTCCAGTAAACCTGCAGAATCTTGAGAATGATAAAAGGACAATTCTTTTAATCTATTTACTTAGTAATTTTTAATTGGAATGGTAATCCACCATAGGGATGACTATAATTTATTTGATCTATACCTATAGTGATGAGCATCTGGACTGTTTTTAAGATTTTTTTTGTCCCGTTTGTTTTGTTTTTGGGACAGGATTTTGCTATGTAGTTTAGGCTGGTCTTGAACTATGTAGCCCAGGCTGGCCTTGAATTCACAGTGAGCCTCCTCCTGTGTCAGCCTCCCAAATGCTAGGGTTACAGGTGTGTGCCACCATGCCTGGCAAAATCATTATTTAGGCTGAAAGATAAACATGAATTAGTAACAAATTCTGCTCTTTCAAGTCAAAAGAATATTTTTCCCTTTCAAACTGGTGTCTCATCTGAGGGCCAAGGCTGCAGGGGCTGTTATGGGCTTCTCAGCCAATTCTGGAGAATGATCCCAGATGACAGAGGTCCCAGGAATCCCTGGTGGCCTCGATCTAGTTTTGGTCCAGTGCTTAGTCACTGTGTGCCCCTGCATGAGTCTCTGCCCCTCTCTGCGCTTTCCTTCCTTCCTTCTGGGATAGAGGGTAAGGCTGCCTCACCACTCTCTCTCTGGGCCTTGTAAGGATCCAGGAGATAATGGAGCCCTTTGCAATATGAAGGGTTGCAAATGGAATTGCAGTAGCAAAGTTCCTTCTCAAGAACTTTGGAAGAATGCCAGTTTCCACTGCCCCACACTACAAGGCTTCCCAAACTACAAGTCTGAGCTTCCCAATTCTTACCTGTAGGACTGTGAACACTCCAGAAATCAAACAGAAGCATGACCTTATCTGAGAAGACGAAATGCATCTGAAAGAGAAGGGAATCTATATCTCAGGGCACTTCAGGCAATGCAAGTCTTGGTTCCTAATGCTCTCCAGAAGCTTCCTTTGTAGGCCCAGGAAAACAGTCACAGGAGTTTCAGGATGAAAGGTCCATGTAAGGTCATGGCCAAACGAGGCCATGAAGGGAGGGCTTTCCTCAGTGGGTCAGCAGTGGAGCTGTGATTGACCTGGGCCTCCTTCCTGTGGCAGGGAGGATCTATGCTCTTGGGGATGTGACAGTGCTCTCAGACCCTGGATCTATGTCCCCTTGTACCCTCCAATCCCAATGGGGAAGCAATAGGCTTCCTCTTCTTACCCCCAGCCCAGCCCTTCTGCTTAGCCCATCAGGCTCTCCCAAAAGAGTGCAGAGTCCTTTTAGTCCCGGTGAATTCAGTCAGATGAATGGAGTGTGTCATGGAGGAGCCCAAAGGCAACTGTCAATGGTCTGTACATATCTGTCCACTTGCTCATTAAACACTGGCTGAGCCAAGTCCTGTGCTTAGCATTAAGAAGGGTTAATGTCTCTGCCCTCGGTGAGTTCATGGCCTTCTAGGAAAGACTGAAGGTAACCAGCAGTGGTCATGTGATGCCTGTCTGAATGTGTCTCAAGAGAGTGCTGTGTGTAAGATGTCATCAAGGGATTCTTTTGCATTACCTACCATGATGGCACAAGAGTCCTCTGTGTGACAGGGACAATTAGGCCCATTTTATGGGAAGGAAAATGGGGGAAGCTAGACTCAGAGAAGTTAAGTAATTTTCAGGATATTATAAAGCTAATATGTTGGCAAAGCTAGAATTCAAACCTGAGGGTTAGCTGGATCCCAAGCACTCCAGGATACTGTGAGCCTCCCAGTCTCCATAAGGGGAAGATAGGAGCTGGATGACAATATTAGATACCCAGCCAGGCTCAGGACTGTTTTTGGCAAGGCCACAGTCAGCTCAGTCAGTCAGTTCACCCTCCAAGGGAAGAGAAAGTCCCTTCTTGTCAACAAATAATAGAAGCTACTCTGTAGACGCCAAGCTGAGAAAATCTTGGTTGCACTGGGATCAGCTGGTAGAATCCTTTGCTTTCTAAGACAGTGGTCCAGTAGTAATGACCTGGTGTGTCAGAGCTGGAGGTATCCTCAGAGGAGTTCTGGTCTTTTTACCTTTTTTTTTTTTTCACCTTTTTTGCAAGAGAGCACTGGCAAACAAAATCTTCCTTATTGCTCCATTATAAGACACCTGGCTCTGAGTGAAAGGGGAGGAGAGAGGCTGGGTTTTGCTGACACTCAGATTGGAAAACAATGAACTGACCCAACTTCCACCCCCCTCCACCATTTCTCATTTACAGATGGGAAAGGGAGTCCCAAGAGGGAAAGGGATCTCTCATGACTTCGTAAGAAGTCTGGCTGCTCTCAATTTGTGTTCAAGGGGAGAGGATCTGGAGAGGGAGTATGGGTTGTTGAGGAGGTTGTGGAGGCCATCTGTTCTCAACTCAGAGAAAGGGAGTTCAGGCTGAGGCAGTCTTTAGTGGGTGGTGGACAGACAGGAACACTAGATGAGCTGCCATTTTTTCTGGAAACTGCCAGGTGGATGTTCTTGACACCAGTGCCACAAACTTCTGTCTACAAGCAACAGCCTGTCTACTTCTTCCTCTCTCAAAACTGAAGATCCGGGGCTGGGGATTTAGCTCAGTGGCATAAGCGCCTGCCTTGCAAGCAAGCAGTCGTGAGTTGGATCCCCGGTACCGATAAAAAGGAAAAAGACAAAAAAACAAAAAAACCTGAAGATCAGAGGAGACAGTAAGGAACAGTAGACTGAATCTAGGATTTAGAACAAACCAGATCTGTTCATCAAGGCCTCTCAGTGCTCTGTACCTCCTGGGAGAAGTTAGGAGAAAACACTATGAAGCCATCCATATAATGTAGCATGGTAAAGCTGACCTCTTTCCCACCCCTGTAGAAGCTGGAGGGGTGTTTCTCAAAAGGGTTCCATGAAAACCCAGGATGTTAAGAGATGCTCTGAAAATGGATTCTGTAGTCAAGGAAGTTTGGGAAAAATTGGAATTGGGTAAAATAATGTTTAATAGTCTCTCTGGTGTTAGGCAGCTGTAGTGCAGTGTGCCCAGGCCTGGGGGTCATGGGACAGCCATGAGCACCCCTAATGGCAAGTGGCTCAGTGAAGAGGGATAACAGTGTCTCCTCAGAATCTTCAGGACCTTATTAAAAATGCAGAAGCCTAGGCCTCTTCAGATGCCCCAATCAGAGTCCAGGGCAGACCTCAGGAGGCAGGGAAGCCCATGATTTTAACATGCCCCTTCAGGGGACTGTGGCACACACTTCATTTGTTATAACCCAAAGAAAGGCAGCAAAGCCTCTGCACAAGGACACAGATGATAAAGGTACATGTCCTGGTTCTGTCTCCTGATAGGAATCAGCCGCATGACCTGAAGTTACTGACACATAGCACAGTCCCTTTGGGTCTCTCAATCTATAAAATGAGGCCTGGACTCTAGGAACCCTCCTCCTGGTTTGCCCTCACTTTCATAGGCCAACTGTGCTGTGAACTTGGTACATGCAGATTCCTATCGTGAGCTCCACTCCTACCTTGGAACCCCACAGAGGAGAATACAGGAGTTGTGCCTGTCTGTGGGGTGGGTGGGGGATGTCATCCATGCATGTCCCAATCGTTGTGTACAGTGTGGACACTGTAGCTTTGGGTCTGCTAGAGACCTGGAAACAGCTGGCTGTTCTGCTCAGCCAACATGCCTCTCAGGTTTCAAAGAGGTTTGACTTGTTATCAACCCTGCCTATGCCTACACGTGTGCTGAGCTCTCTGTATCTGCAGGACAGAGAAGGAATGTAAAACCATGTGATGGAACCTTGTGGCTACACAGCTGCGGGAATTCTGATGGCCTGCATAGACCTACACTGTGTCATCTTTTGCATCACTCTCCTGACTGCTCTGAAATCACTAATTCCTTTAAATTGCCAAGAAAGGCACAGAAAGGCCCATTTACCTGCTTAAGGTGACCCAGAGATTAGGCATCAGATTCATAGATCCTTCTGGAAAGCTTGTATTGGTTTTCAAACCTAAGTGCATTCTATAAGCACTGTTTCTGGGGCTGCTGTCTATGAGGCCACAGTAATAGGAAACCATCTCAACCATGATAATGCTCCTGCCGCTCAGTAGAGACTGGCTAGGTAAATTTGTGTGATGGCTTCTGAATGGAAATCTTAGCAGTTACTTTAAAATTATGTCAAAAAATTTAAAAATAACATGAGTTTTTATCCCCCTAATATGAAATGGTACTTGCTCGGTGCAAAAACTGAGCTAGTACTAAATAGGCAGTAAAACTCATTTTGAGATCTACTATCCAGAGATGTCTCCTGTCAGAATTTCAAAAAGCCCATCTGTTGATATGGTGAAATGCTAAGAAAAGATTAACATGCAAAAGTAAACGGGTAGAAATACTTCCGTGAAACTTGGTTTGTACTGGAGCTGAACTCATTTGACTTCAGCAGACGCGGAAGTCTGCCACTCTCTGCCAGGTGAAGAATCTTACCCATGACCCTGTCTCTGAGTCCAGTTGGTAAAGCAGCTGGCATGAATGGCATGTCTTCAGTGGCTAATCACCCAGCAAGTTTCCATAACTGGGATCCTTCTATCATTATTGGGCCTGGGCCAGCTACCTCAGGCACCCAAAACAACTCCATGCTTTTTGTAGTGGACTAGAACACCTACAGACAGTAAAAGCCATTTGACCGACATTTCCTTTTGTTGTGGGATGAGAAAAGTTCTAGATCCTCATGGGGCTGACTGTCTAGTAGGGACACAGAGAACTGATCAGATAATTGCGACAGGGTATATGGCATCAGAGACAGGAGGGCATAGAGGAGACCTGGAAGAGCAGGTTGCAGGGGATAAAGCCGCCTCGGAGACACCTAACTGAAGGACAGGGGTACGAAAGGCTGTCAGTTCTGAAGAAGTAGTAGCCAAAGGCAGCTGGGATGACAAGAGGCCACACAGGGGTGCAGAACTGGACATACAGAGAACATTGGTTCTATAGTTGCCTTGCAAGTTGGAAGCCCAGGAGGGACAGAAACTCACAGGCCACTTGGCCTTCCCAACTCTTGTTTATTTGCTTGATAAAAGGGTTCAAATCAGCACACCCTGACTTGTGTGCTCCTGGCTGCAGTTTTCAGTTAAAGAGTTTTGTGATCAGATATACATGGGGGAGGGCCTCAATCTTGCCTTCCCATTTGGGAAGAATCTGGGCCATAACCCTTAATTCAGAGCCACACCCTGGGTGGAAAGGGGCCTTGGGGATTGCGGAGCAATCCGTGGGAATTGTTTTCTTCCTTATTTTCTCTTTGGGGTCATTTAACACTTTAAGAAACACTCTCATTTATTAACCAGACTTCAGAAGGAGATTTCAGGTCCCCGTGTTGCTGCTGACTAGCTTGGGGGACTTTTTCAAGGGTTTCACATCTATTTCCCGTTTTGGAAGACAGGCGGTTGACTACAGATTGCATAGGTTTCCTGTCTGTTAGCCTTCAGCATTCTTCAAGGGATGAAGAAAATGGTACGATTTCTCCAAACACCAGGCTTTTTAAAAATGTCATTCTTTCTTGCCCTGCTGAACTCCAACAAGAGAAAGTGCCTAGCGCACTCGTTACTTTCTGACCCTAGGGAGACTACGAAGTAGCTAGAACTGTTGTAAAGAATCACGACTACAGCCGAGGGCCGGGTCGGGTCGGGTCGGGATGTGTGCTCCCGGGCCAGGAGAGACCCGGTATCTCCTTTTAGTAGAAGCCCTTCCTGGGCGCTGCCCAGAATCCGGGGCTAGGTGTCTGTCTGCTGTCCTCGCCCATGGTGCCCGCACCTCTGGCCACACCACAGCCGGCGCTCATCTGGCCCGACTAGAGAGGAACAAACAGAAGCCCCGAAGCCGCCGTCAGCACCACCTGCCGCGTCGCCCAGCCCCAGTCCGAGCTGACAGTGCCCTCACCAGCCCCGGGCCAGGGCGGCGAGGATCCGGAGTGTCCGGGCAGCTGCTCCAGGGGACCCCGCCCCAGCTGCCCACCCGCGCCCATCCTCGGCGGGGCGCCCGGGACTCACCGCCATGGTGAGCGCGCGGGTCGGGCACCAAGGCAGCGTCCGCTCGCTCGCTCGGGTCTCCGCGCTCCTACTCAGTCCAGCGGTGGCGCCCTGATCGCGACCCGGGCCGCGCGGGTCACGTGGTCCCGCCAGGCGGCGCGCGGGCGCCTGGGAGTTGTGGTTTCCATCCCCCCCCCCCCCCCCCCCCCCCGGCCGCCTGGGCCGCGCCCTCTGCCCGGGGCCACGCGCGGACTTGGAGTTCACTCATTCGGCGGCCAGAGACTCAGGAGTCGTGAGGGATGGAGCCCACTGCCCGTGCTTTGGCCTGCCGCAATTATCATAAAAATGTTTATTGCTCACTGTCACAAAGCTGTGCTGTTGGTAATTAGAAAGTCTATCCTGTGGACACAATAACAAGGAACTAGGAGTAATTTTCGTGTAGCTATTTTTCTCTCTGATCTTTTCCAATCTAAAGAAAAGCAATGGACAATGGTAATTTAAATTATCCTGTCACTTTCTTTCTCTCCTGTGTGCAAGCAAAAACCACGATTACATTTTCTTTATTGCACAAATCTTTGGTTTTTCCTCAGAGGTAATATGTGGTCTTATCTGTTTGGGCCTATATAACGGAATGCCATAGACTAGAAGCTTGTAAGCAATACTTACCACGGCCCAAACGCTGGAAGTTTTAGATCAAAATGTCAAATTCTGTCTCTCCTTAGGACCCTCTTATGGGTTGCAAACTTCTGTTTTTTCATTATATCTATTAGAGAAACTGAGGTGCAACAGAGATCACTGAGGCAGGCAAAGTTGAAGCAAACTGCAGAAACTTTATTGCAGACTGGGTGTGGTCTAGCCAAGGGCTAAACCGTTGGCCCTGGGCATGATTTTATAAGGGAGTTTACCTAGGGGAGGGAGGTATTGTTGAGGGGGGTGCAAAATTTTGGGTCTCTGAGTAGGGGATATAAGGCTAGGTAATAGGGCATTGCTGGGTACAGGGGATGCTGGCAGGCACAGCACGTCTCTTGTGGTTTTTCTTGGAACCAGCTCTTTGCAGGTTGAACCTTGTGGGGACAGCTGCTGGCCTCCTGTTAAATGCCATGCTCCACCCCCTGCCCGCAGAAGCAAATAACAGATCCGTTTGGAGGAGGTTTTTTGCTCCTAGTTGGGCAGGGGTATAGTTCAGAGACATGAAACTATCCTCACATGGACATAATTGGTATTTCTTTGATGACTATGGTGGTAAACTTTCCTTCTTGTGGATATTTCTGTTTTTGTGTACTATGTGTGTATTTCATTGATCCAGTTTGTTGGGGAGTTTTTCTTGGTTTTGAGGGACTTTTAACATTTTTTTTTTTTTTTTTTTGAGGCGGGGTCTCTCTCTACAGTTCAGTCTGGCCTTAACTCACTTTGTAACCCAGGCTGGCCTTGAACTTGCATGGATTCTCCTGCCTTAGCTTTCTAGTGTTGGGATTACAGGTATGCATCACCAGGCCCCACAGTGTTTAATTCTTAGCCCTTTGTCAACCATCCTATGAGTAAGAGGTTTCCTCCAAGAAACCTTATCACAGACAGTATTTGCTGAGACTTTGAGGCTAGATCCAGACCTAAATTTAAATCCTGAGCCTTTCAGTATTAGCTATGAGACCTCAGGCAAAAAACTTTGCATCCTGAGCCTCAGTTTCCTGGTAAGATAAAAACCATAGACTCTATGTGATAGGAGTGCTGTGAGACTTAAATGAAAATATGAGTGTTGGGGGCTGGGGGCTTAGCTCAGCGGCATAAGTGCTTGCCTTGAAAGCAGGCAGTCGTGAGTTCGATCCCCGGTACCGATAAAAAGGAAAAAGACAAAAAAAAAAAAAAAAAAAAAATGAGTGTTAAATTCTTTGTATAAAACCTGGCAGCAGGGACCTTGCTTAACAACTGACAGCCATTGTCCTTATTACCAGCGAGTATTTCTGTTCAATGAGGAAAAAAACCATCTTCAAAAGGTCAAGCTACTTGCTTGTGGGAAAGAAGCCTCTCTGGGAGGGCTGCAGATGTCCTGAGGTGCCTAAAACCAACTCATGGTGTTTCGGGGTGCCAAGAATAGGGAAGGAATTTGGGTGTACTTTTTCACCTTTCCAGGCAAGAGTAAGATTTGATTTTTACCTAAGTAGGCTTTTGTGTACCCACTTGTTTACTGTCTCCTACCCAGTCTTTCACTCTTTTCCCTGTTGAAGATTTGCAGCACAGCCTCATTCATTTGGCTGTTTTTGTTGGCTATGTTGAAATCTCTTGACCTTCATGCTTAGTTGTGGCATGAGTAGTACTCCTCATGAGTAGTATGGTTACAGCACTTGGTCCTATGGTCCTAAGCACCTCCTTCCTTTTGAGCCAGCTGAGACCTCCCCTCCCTGGACCCCAGGAATGGGAACTGAGTTTAGAATCCTGGGTCATAAGATCATACCACAGCCACCTGTCTTGTCTGTGGCAAGAGATTCTCCCTGGATTCTATTTTGACAGCCTGTGGACTCCCTCGTTAGAGCAACAGAGTCTGTTGCTGTCTTTCCCAGCACACACCAGGGCAGAATCCCTAGTCAGGAAGGACAGTGCTGTAAGGAAGGACAGGAAGAATTGTAAGAGATCAGCAAAGGGCCCTTTAACCAGGGCACTGAGCTCCTGCATATGGTAGTCAGGTGGTAGAAGGGAAATCGGAGAATCTTTTCTCCTTCTGAGGTTTATTAGAGGAACTCAAGATCTCAAGATAGATCACATGCTATTCTTGCAGAACGTCTGTCTGCTATATGCAGATGAGGCTCCGTGAGAGTCTCTAAGACTCTCTGGGCCTTGGCTTTCCCATCTGTAGCAAAGGGGAAATGGACCCCCTGTAACTCACCCTTCACTTACTGGTGGTTTGCAGTGATAAGTGAGCATGAATGTGGAATGTAACACTTTTTGTCCAGGATTTTTGCTTGTTTTCCATTTAGCTCCAATGCATTAGTCTCTTAGGTTGTTCCACAGGATGCTTCTATTATTGTATAGTTATTCTATGAGGAGGATTTTACGTATATACATGTGGCACAAAGAGCATGTGCACATCTGATATTGACCAGCGTGTAGAAGGTGTGTGTGTACGTGTGTGTGTGTGTGTGTGTGTGTGTGTGTGTGTGAGTGTGTGTGTGTGTGTGGTTGGAGAAGGTCCAGGAGCCAGACTACCAAACCCACAAATTCGTGAATTAATTCTCAGACAATGGAGAAACACCAAAGTGTTTTTAATGTATATTTTTTCTTCTGAATTTTGTCTTTTTTTCTTTCCCAAATGCTACTCTTTTAGTAATGCCAGCCAGGCCACTACATTTAACACTTCAGTCTCCCTTGTACCCCATGTCCTGGTTACTCTGCTTCATTTCCCCCCATAGTATTTATGATCTTGTTGCATCCTATTTTATGCATGTATTTGTTATTCCTTTTTCTCCATTCAAATGGAAAATCAACGAGAGCAGGGATCTCTCTGCTTTTGGGAGGGCATGTGTCACACGGTGGACTGCAGTGGATGCTGGTTGAATGAATGAATGAAGTCTCTCTGTGCTTTACTGCTTGCCGTGGTAAGAGGAATAATATAAACAGCCTCTGAGACCTAAAAGCTTTGGTTCCCATGCAAGCTGTGGCTAATTTGGGGTGGTGGGCAGAACAAGTGAGAAAATAACTGCATAGAAGCTGAAGGAAGAGCAGCATCTCCCCATCTGCACCCCAAGTTGAAGTCCCTAGAAGTGAAAACTGAGGAGCCTAGAGCAATGGGCTTGTGCTGACTTACAGCAGGGTCTCTAGGACAACCCAGGAGGAATGGCAGTAGGGTAAGACCCAGCAAACAGGGTGCCCCACGTGCCTTTGGGACAAAGATACAAACTCAAACGTATCCTGTCTCATGAACTCAGGTCAGGGGGAAAGATGACCAATCATGAGAATCAACAGTCCATTCAGAGGAGACTAAATACAAAATGCGGTACCTATAGGAAGCCCTTGCCTGGAGTGTGAGGTCTTAGGAAAAATTAAACAGAAATGAGGCAGGTGAGTGACAGAGTCTGGGAACATCCTGCCCTTGAGCCCTCTTACTTGCACTTGCCTCTGCTGCTCAAATTAGTATATCACAGACTAGCCTAAGATTAAGATGCAAGAGGTCAACAGTGCAAAAAAGGACAGCCTTAGATCCTGGAGCAGTGTAGACATTTTACCCAACTATTCCTGAGATACTTCTGTGCATAATCCCAAACAGCATTCTTCGATCCAGGCTTCAGTGATGTGGTGATTTTAAATCTCAAGTTCTGAGACATTGCCCCTACAGAGAGGCAGAGTGTCTGTTCTTTCTGGCCAACCCTAGTGACTCATGACCAAAAGACTGCATTAGAAGTAGTGCCTAGGGCTTGTGAGGCTAGGGTCATAAAAGGCAACATGGTTTTACAAGGTGAAAGAGTTCTTGAGATTGGTGGTACAACAATGTGAAAGGATTTAATATTACTTAACTGTACATTTAAAATGATAATTTTATGTTATGCTGTATGTATTTTACCACAATTTTAAAATCAAGTACTATACATGGAATTTTATTTCACCACAAAAAGGAATGAAGTACTGATACATGTTGCAACATGGCTGGACCTTTAAATGAAAGAAGCCAGTAACAAATGGCCACATGGTATATGATTACGCATGTATGAAATGTCCAGGATAATCTGCAGAGGCAATCTGTAGTCCATTGGTTACCAAAGACTTGAAGAATGGAGAAATGAAGAATGGTAATAGGTAGGCCTTCTTTTTCAGTGATGAAAACATTCTGAAATAAACTGTAATTATGGTTGCATATATCTGTGAATATATTAAAATTTTCCACTTCTAAAAGGGTGATTTTTTAGAATATGTATTATATCTCAGTAAAGTTTTTTTCTAAACTTTATAGGTATTGCAGTCTAGTCTGCAACTAAAGTATTGCAGTCTTCACCTTGTACACTGGGATTCTGGCTACCAAGTATTAAAAACTCTCAATTCTCTGAGATCACCATATTGTAAGGCGAGCTAAGCTATATGGAGAGGCTATAGACACTTTCCATGTTTTTGTGCTGGAGACTGAACCTAAGGCCTTATGATGCTAAGCACACTCTGCTACTAAGCTACATAC